TCAACTTTGAAAATTTGGCTGGAATTTCAAACAAATTTTCAAAGTTGATATTCTGACCCCAAAGTTTGGCAAAATGTTTCCTATAGTTTTCTCCAGTTTTCCCCAAAGTTTCAGCCAGATTGGTTAACTCTCCGAGTTTTCGCGGAGTTGTTTTCCTTTTATGCCGACTTTCTGAATAACCCCATAAAGGAGCATATAAAAATACGTTCCGCGGCGGTGGCCTAGGTTTCTCACTGCGCGGAAACTCAAATCCTCGTCTCCGAGGCGTTCTTCGAGTATTTCAAATATTTTTTGAATATTTTCGCAAAAAAATTAGGAAAATACATATCATTAAAAATATTTTAATGCAATGAAAGTTTTTTGGACGGAGTCCCGCTTTAATGAATCATTTTCTCACAGAAACTTACATGAATTTCTTCTAACTTTCGCCCACTTTTCAAATCTTTCGCAACTTTCAGTGTGTATTGATTGTTCGTTCTTGGAAACGCATCCAGAACATATAACTTTTTCTTTATATTTGGAATGAATCGTTCCATTTGATGTCTCATCTCTTTGTACGTTGAATCCGTTTCTAGATTTGTGTTGTTTGCGTCTGCGAATGGAACTCCAGTGGCAAAGAATCTGAAATGTTCAGAGTTCTGAAATGAAGATCAAGAATTGAATACCGTGTGAACAAAAACGCATAATCCGGCTTTGCACTTTTCAAGAAATCCACAAAATCTATCAGATGTCGTTTACAGTGAGCTTCATTTGAAAGGGCAGCCAGTGGCTCACAACCTAGAAGTTTGAAGCTTATCTCTACCGAAAGGAAGATCATTCCTACCGTATTCTGAGTACATAGTTACATTATAAGCACGATGTCTGCATTCTTGTAGAAACATTTTATGATGGTTCAGAGTTAAACTGTTTCCAAAAATTGCTATTTTGAAGTCTTTACCTTTTTCCTGAAATAGAATTATTCAATATCAGTAAGTATCGAGATATCTTTGTACCTCGTAGTCACACCAAACTTTTCCAGGAGTTCTTTTAATACATCCTGGTTCGTTCAATCCCCCCAAATCAGTTCGTTGCCAATGAGCATTCAATCTATCCGCATCATCTGAAATCATATTGCTAAAGTATAAAAAGAAATTCAAAGTTACCATAAGTCATGTTCGGTAAAACGCCATCCAATCTTGTGAAATTTGAACTGGATGGATTCATTTGTCCGTTTATCACATCTTTATGAATCAAAATTAAATTAATTGAGAGTAAAGTTAGAACAAGAATGGTGATTGAGATATTGGAGAGTTTCAAATACCACCTGAAAATGACACTCTTTGAAGGTTTTATAACAAATTAATAACTCACTTTTCAAAAGTTTCGAAGACCACCACTGCCAACAGTATCGAAACGATCAATCCGGCGGTCAAAACTGAAAGATTATCTGGGTTTACTCTCAGTTTTCACTCTTTTTTTCTTTTCAAACCACAAACTTCCCATTTCAAAATAACAATAGTACGGGAGATCATTAAACTAATATTCATTTTTGATAGAATCTTTAAATCCTACCGTAAATATTTCCTGGATGCATCAGTTTGCAATAAGAATAAATAGGCCAATGGATGAGATAAAGAGAGTAGGATATGTCTCCGATATAGGTCAACATTTTGTTACTCAGATAGATGTCATCAACTGAAATCAGCATGAGAGCTCCGGTGAATACTGTGAAGATTGGTCTGAAAATACCTGACTTGAAAACGGTCCCAAAACGGGGTCCGGGCGGACCCATAGTTTTTTTAGAATTAATGTTTTTGGACCAATTCAATTAGACATGACAGAACTTGGACAGTACTACAAAATGATATTATTTGAAAACCTGTATATTGTCTAAAGTTAAAGTTAAGGGCCGAAAATCAGTCTGGGCCCAGCCCGATTCGAATCAGCCACATTGTCGCTTATAATTTTGTTCATAGACAAAATGCAGTTTTTTTTCAAAAAGTTTAATTTTGTAGTATTCGTCGAGTGCATACTTGTCACTGGCCGGGCCGGGTCGAAATGAAAAATTCTCCGGCCCGGGTCAGATTTCAAAATTTCAAAATTTCGAAGTTTTTTGAAAATTTGTGAAGTTTTCATCTAAATTGCTATAAATTTTGAAGTTTCGATACTTTTATAAGGGCGGATAATAACAGGAAGTTATTTTTCAGGTGGAATTCAAAAAAATTTTCTCAAAATTTTTCAAAAAATCAGCTACCCGGGCCGGGCCGGAAGAATTTTTTCTGACCCGGCCCTGACCCGGCCCGGAATTTGACAAGTATGGTCGAGTGCTATCATGTCTAGTTTATTTTGTCCAAAAATATTGATTCTGAAAGAAATTATGGCAGGGCCCGCAAACTATAGAAAATACATCAATGCATTACTTTGGCACTGCTGAGCCAAACTACTTTTCAATATTTAGAAGAAATAAAATCAAAAATATATCAGGAGTCGAGTCAGTTTTTGCAAAGCAAAATAAGAAAAATTTTGGAAAAGATTACCTCAAAAGAAAGGGATAAAATGCAATTGGATAAGTGACAATATAAGCCATTGGGAATAAGAAGAAGTATTTTGAGAATGGACCCAAATACGTTGTCACTTTAGGTGGTGCCATTACTTCCTTTTCTTGTTCTTCTTCTTCATTTTCACTTTCCTCATCAAATCCATCTTCTTCGAGAAGTTTCTGTTTCCCATCATCCAAATTTTCTGTTGTTTTTGACATTTCAAATGGAAGCGAAGTGGTATTTGAGATCTTTTTGAAATAGATCAAATAGACAACCATTCCGATTAAAAATTGCCAAATTCTAGCAAACATACTGTTGAAGGCGACTGTTTGAGATGATGTCACATAATAAGATAATGATGTGATTCCTGGAAATTTCAGTTTTAATAATCAAATTAAATCCAAATTCTTACCCAGAATGAAATAGTATCCAAGTTTGAAAATTTCGGGAAACAAGTTTCCAACAAGGAAAATGATAGGAACGACAAAATAGAATTGAATTTCAACAGATAAAGACCAGGTGTGAGTGAAGATATCCATGGCTAGATTTAACTTTTCAAAATAGTCTTCTTCTCCAGTTTTCGGACGATTCGATACAAAAAATAGAGCTCGAAAAGCAGAAGACTGGTTTTGAAGGATAGCAGTTTCTATGAATACAGTATATAATGCTATTAATGACATCAGAATTATAAGCAAATACAAGGGGAGAATTCTTTTGAAACGGCGAGAATAAAAGTTCAGAAATACAGATGACACTGGAGAATTCGCTGTTTTTGTGAGCAACATACACATCAGAAAGCCAGAGAGAACGAAAAATCTGGAATCAGGAAAATAAATAATCAAAATTGAATAGGAAACTCACTGATCCACTCCAAGGTATCCATTAGGAAAGTAGGAAGGATAGAAGTGAAATCCTAAAACTGAAAGAATTGCCAATCCGCGAATCCCTTGCAAGTCTAGTCGTTTTGATGGAGGCGATTGAACCATAGTTTAGAGCAGATCGACGCTGAAACATAAGGTTTTAAAATAATCGTAGTGGAAAAAGAAGCATCCTTTCAAGGGGGGAAAATCGTAATTTCAAAAATTGCTTATTCGGAAAACCGTGCATTTGGTATCTCCGAATTTTCCAGATTTCTAAATTATGAACTTTTAAATTTTTAAGATTCCGAAAACATAGGGATTCGAGAGAAAAACTATAAAGCAAAAATGGTTAGCACAGTAGTAGATGGGGAACATCACCAGAAGACATCAAAATCGGAATTTCGAAAAATTAAAAATTATTCTTAAATATTGTGTTGAAAACAGTTTTAAGGGAAAATAGATCGTCAGTGCAAACATATCCTAACAGAGTAAGAGCTTTCTCGACGAAATTCGGGGATTTGACGTTTTGGCATCCCACTTGAAATTGTAGACTCTAATAAATCATCTTCAGAAGTGGGCTTCCTTTTTCCTTTCAAGTAGTCTATACAACAAAATATATTACTTCGATTTTCAACAAAGTCATAGTTTATGTCACAAAAATGTATTTTGTACCTAAAACAAAGTTCCAAAGAACAAATGATAAGCTTCTCGATAAACAAAGTTATGTTATCAACACAAGTACCGAAAGGCCTGTAATAAAAGGGCTCCTACACAATCAAGTTCTCAATTGTCATTTTATCAGTTGACAACTTTTTTTTATATCTTTGACAGGAAATGAGATATATTGGCTCAAAGTTAAAAGTTACTGACTTTTCTATTACAAGTTTTACGGTAGATTGTTTAGAAGATTATTCAAAAAAAAAAACTGGAAAGAAATTAACAACTGTACTGAAATGTTAGGGACTATTAAGCAGTAAAACAAAAAAGGTTTGAAAAATATATTGAAGCAAAAAAAGCAATTCAGACTACATTTTGAATGATCACAAAGGAACTAAAACTTTGAAGCTAGATTTCGAATGTAAAGGCTAGGAGAAAAGAAAAATAGAAAACAAAAAAAACACAGAACAACAATTTCCGGTTTTCTGTTGTGCTTGATCTCTATTTGCTCATATACTTTGAAAATATAGATAACATTCCAACAAAACAATTCCCCTTCCTATGAGGGGTTTTTCTTTTAATGGAAGTTCAGAAGAAACATGAACAAAAAAGTTGCCGGCTTCAAACACATAGGAATTTTATTGCAACAAAACGCTATGTTTTAACACAACGAACAAATCATAACATTTCTATTTTGTAGAAGAAGGATACCGCACTTCTGCGAAGATTCTCTCAAACTTTAGAACAAAGAAGGATCTTTGAGGCGTTATAACTATCATCGGAATTATTTATGTAAAAATTATTTTTAAAAATAGGAATCATTTATTTAATTATTGGAATTGGAAAAAAATATAGTTACTTGGAAACTTAACACTAGAATCTTGTAAAACTATAATATCTTTGAAATTTTGGGGTTCGATTTCCCTGGTGGCCTTTTTTTTGTAATTTTTTGATGGTTCTGGTAATTACAGTGAAAACTGAATTAACAGAAATTCTGGAACCTATGATTTCGGTCATCTAACTACTTTTTTTTGAATTTCTATTCAGACGACAATGAAATAGAGAACTGATGAAATCAACTGATTTCAAAGAAGAGAAAAATAAATGTAGTGTGGTTTGAGTTTTTTTAAAAAGGGGAATAATACAAGTTAGCTCAGAACGTCAGTATTGTTCACACTGTTTATGTAAGAACGAAACATATTTACATTAAAATACAAATCGAAAAGTTTTCTGGCCTCAATCAACATTACAATATCTTTTCATAAAAATTTCAAAACATTATAAAGAGTTCAGTGTTAGGGTATTCGTTTCTTTGGAAACAACGAACTGAATCTCTCAACAAAAATGTATCAATAAATAGTTCGAATAAACAAAAAAAGAATGAAAAACGAGTTGGATGAAACGACCATTTTTGAGTACAGTTCGGTCGTGTTATGAAAACTCGTCAATGCAATGGATATAAAAGTTTTTCTTTTTCCCTCCATCCAACGAGTTATGATAAAGTGATAGGCGTCATCTTTCTAGTGTATTCAACACTGACAAGACGTTTCATCACTTCCTTTGGCAAAAGTGTGAAATACACTTCAATCATATTATACTCATGTCTGTATTGCCAAAGAATGACCCAGAATGATAAGAATGGTCCCAGGCTTTGAGAAATGACTTTTTACTAAATCGAATCGTTTTAAAAATAGCTAACAAACTCGAAATTTGCGGCATGTTTCTACATAAAAATAATGCTTCTTGTGACTAGATATTTTCCCGCGGAAGCCTAAACCTGATAAAGTCCAGAAAAGCATCCAAAAAAATACTGAAATTCTTAAATTTTCAATTCTTAAACTCTCTAACTCTCAAATTCTAGAATTCAGAAATTCAAAAGTTTACAAAATCAGAAGTTTAGAATTTGGAAAATGAGAAATCGAAATTCCGAAATTCTAAAAATGTAAAAATCTGAAAAGCGGAAAGTATGAAATTCGAAGATTCAAACATCCAGAAACTCGGAAATCCTAGATTCGGAAACTCAAAATGATGAAAACTCCTAGATGAAAATTGAGAAACTTGAAACGTTAGAAATTAGGAAGTACATAAGTTTTCTGATTCATTAAAACCTCGAGAAATAAGTTTTTGAGCAACTCGGAGATCCAGAAATTCCGAGCTTTCCGGTCGGTTCTTGTTTCTATGAACTTTTGCGTTTTTCAGGGGACCAAATATGTTTTGAAGGAATTGGCATATTTATTTATTTATTTATTGATTACGACCTTCCGTCGTGGAAAAAGAGAAAAAAGAGAAAAGGAATACAATACAATCACACAAAACACAGATACACGAATAACTAAACAACACATTCAAATAAAGTGGAGAACCGAATAGTAACACTATTTCCAAATGATAGCACATAACCGCATAATGATAACATAATGATAACACATACACGCATACATACACGTACATACACGTACATACATACACGTTACATACATACATACATACACGTACATACACGTACATACATACACGTTTCTAGTGATCTGGGCAGTCTCATATTTCACGGCTACTTATTTCTCTAACAAAACCAAATGAGTGGGAAGCGATGTCGTTTCTAGTGGTGAAATTATTTGCTGTACTGAAATTTTCAAGGCCTGTTTTAAGTGATATATAAGATTTTCGTACATCTCATTAATAGATAGATTCATATCAAAAACTAAAGCCCAATCTACGGCATCGAAGTATTCCACGCAAGATCTTAAATCAATATTTCTAAAGTCATATATCAGCTGTTCAGAACGATTGATTTTACCCAGGAGGTCACATTGGATTTTTATGCTGTTGTGGTCACTCGACCCAACTGGATTCAAAACTGTAATATTAGAAAGAGAGAAATTAGAGAATACTACATCTAGGATATTAAGATTTCTGGTTGGACATTTAACATTTTGCTTTAAGTTATGGGTGATGCAAAAGTCAAGGAGGGTTTGACCCAATTTGGATGAGGTAACGGGGTGTTCAAGTTTCCAATCAATACCGCTGATATTCAAATCGCCTAAAATAATTACTTTACCTAATTTACTATGTCTGCTACTTTATTAAGCAGACGGATAGTGTTCTTATGAGAGCAGGAGGGAGTACGATAGATGTTCACTATTCTCACTGGTTCAACATCTACTTTTATATCAGTAACTAGTATTTCGTAGGATTTGGGAAAGGATTCTGCAGTAACAATATTAACCGGAAAATTTTTATTTATAAGCTAGCACACGCCACCTCCTCTTTGGTCATTTTCACGATCACATCTGTACACTATATAATTCTTGTTAGCGCCTGTCAAAATAGTATCTTGATTTTTAGAGGAAAGCCACGATTCTTGGATGCAAATAATATCAACTTCTTTTTTATCAACCACAGCCTGAATCTCTAACCTATTACATATTGCGGATCTTACATTTGCGGTCAAAACGGTCAAATACAGTTTTCGAGGTGGAGAACAATTAGGTACATTGCAATATAATTTTTGGCGAGCTCTAAAGTTACAATTAAAACGTGGTTGAGGTCCTACGTGGCTGATTAGTTTTTTGAGGAGGAAATTGTGGAGGGTATGGGAGACATGTTCACATCAACTAGGTTAACAGATAAAGGGGGTTTCTCAGTACGGAACTTGTGAGTATTCCTCCTTAAAACGATGCTTCTTTTTCCTGTAAGATTATTGGAAACTTTCAGCGTCGACCTGCTTGAAACTATGGTTCAACCGACTAAATCGAAAAGATTAGATTTGCAAGGGATTCGTGGATTGGCAATCTTTCGGTTTTAGGATTCCACTTTTATCCATCCTACTTTCCTAATGGATATCTCGGAGTGGATCAGTAAGTTTCTTACTCCACCCAATTGATGAATTTTCCTGATTCCAGATTTTTCGTTCTCTCTGGTTTCCTGATGTGCATGTTGCTCACAAAATCCAAAGAGATGCCTGTCTGCTCTGCATTTCTCCATTTTTATTCTCGTCGTTTTATAAGGATTCTTCCTCTTTATCTTCTATTTATTCTCCTCACACTTATCGCTTTGTATTCTCTGAAAGTGCTACTCTTCAAAATCGATCATCTGCGATGAAAGCACTAATTTTTGTTTCAAATCGTCCGCATACTGGAGAGGAGGATTACTTTGAGAAGCTTCTGATTGCCATCGATTTATTTACACATACATGGTCTCTATCTGTCGAAATTCAGTTTTATTTTATTGTTCCAATCATATTTTTAATTGGAAATCAGTTGAACGGATATTTCAAATTTTAGCACTTATTTCATTTTTGATCTATTCAATTCTACCATCCGAAGTCGCATTCAACAGCTTGTTTGCTAGAATCTGGCAATTTTTGATGGGGATGATGATTTATTTGCATTCTATCACACCAATCGAAATTAAAGAATCTATTCTATCCTATAAGCTTTTGGATTCAACAGAAAACGGAGAAACGGTTGAAAACGTTTCTTTAATAGATGCCTCTTCTGAAAATGAAGATGGAGAGAAAGAGGATGTTGAGGTTATCCCTCCAAAACCATCAACATATATTGGACCATTCTCTAAATACTGTTTTTTGGTTCCAATGGCGTTTGTGATAACTTATCCAATCGCAATGTTTCCATTTCTAGTGAGGTAATTCAAAATGATCGAATTTTGGGTTAAAAAACTCAATTTCAGATCTCTTTTCACATTCTTCACAGGTTTATTGATGTTAGTTTCCGTTGAT